CAGAAACCCACTTCTGCCGGATGCCTGTGACCTTGTACTCGGAGCAGCACTGAAGGAGCAGCAGCCCAGAGCTGGATTCGTGTCGCTGGCCGAGGTGCGGCGCTCGGATGGGCTCTCCCAGCCCCCGGGTCCCCGCGGCTGTGAGTTGGTACCTTACCTTGAGCCATTCCAACGGTAGCAACGTCCCTTTCCGTTGATTTTTTTATTTTTTTGCACTGTTTTTTTTGTTCTGAAACCATGTAAGCTAACTCCACGGTGTATATAAATTGTATTATTATTTTTTTTTTAAATTTGTATGAGTATATTTTTATTTGGACTGTGGCACTTGGGAAGTATTCGTGTAACCATAACATGTCTGAGAGGCAAATGTTTGTGTGTCTCCTTCAGCACTTTCAAGACCTTTTGGTGTTTCTGGTGTTGTCTTATTTTTGCCATTTATTAAAATAAAACTAGTAGAACGTGGTAGTATCCAAGAGCGTGATTCGAGGAAGGTGAGGAGCTGCTCTTCATGAGCTGTGTGGTTCTAACGGTTTGCACAGAAGCGCTCTGAGGCCGGGCAGGAATTAGCAGTAAATTAGGAATTAGTGTAATCCTCTCCTAATCCCGTGTTGGAACTATGTTCCCCCTCCTCCTCATGGAGCAGAGATTTTCCCTGACCCTCCTCTTGTGATTAATGTGTTTGTAAAAGCACTTTTTGTTGGCCTTGGCAGAGCTGGCCAAGTTCTAACTGAGCTTTCGCTTCTCTGTTTCTCTTTTTGCACAACCTTACAATATCCTTAAACGCTCCCTGATTCACCTGACCCTGTTTCCAGAGTTGATGCACTATTTTTTTTTTTTATTTTTTCCTCCTGAGTTCCTGCGAAATGTCCCTGCTCAACCACGTCGGTCTTCTTCCCGTTCTTCCCTTCTTCATTTTATGGTGCGGAAGGACAGCCAGATCCTGTGGCTTCATCATTTCATTCTTAAAGCCCAGCCTTCCTGGGCCCCTTTGTTTTTAAGGGCTGATTCGCAAGAGATTCTCCAAACCAGCGTCCTGAGGAGTCCGAAGTCAGCCCTCCGGGAGTCCAAGGTGGAGGATTTGCTGATGACCCTCCTGATTTCATCACATCTTGAAAATTCTGGTTGTATCACAGTTGCTGTGGCCAAGGCGACCTCCGACCACCATGTCTTCCACCAGCCCTTCCCTGTAATTTACTCACTCGATACCTTCTGTTTTCTTAAAACTTCCCTTCCTTCCAGTATACAGATAAATTATTTTTTTATATATATATATACCTTATCTATTTGTACACGCGCAGCATTTTGCTGGTTTTCCAAGAGAGCATTCAGGAGCTGGGCAGGTAGGGGGAAGGTCTAACAAATCCTCCTCCTT